GTGTGTGTGTGTGTTTGGATCTGTGAGTGTGCAGTGCCTGCGGAGTCTAGAAAAAGGTATTGATTACTCTGAGTTTCAGGTAGTTGTGTGTTACCCAACCTGGGTGTTGCAAACTGGACTCAAGTTATCAGTGAGAAGAGAAAGTGCTCCTAACCACTGACCCATCTTTCTAGCCCGAAGTATTTAGTAACTTAATATAACAATTTTGGATTAGAAAAAGGAGAAAATGTACTAGAATGTCAGCAAACTGACAAAAGTTTAGGTTGTGTTTCCATGGATAAACACACAACTATATTCCTTTCTATACAGTAATTTTCAATTATAGTGACAATAATATTTTAGTATTTTACTCTAATTTTTAAGATAGATTAAAGTGCCTTGTATTTTGTGCTTTGTCAGTCAAATTCTCTGCTGAGCATAAAGTATTAAGAATGATAGGTTTGTATTTTAATTGTTTCTGAATTTTCATTCACTTACTTTTATGGTGCTCTAGCAAATTTGCAAACATATGTTATTATGTATTTGTGTTGTACTTGCTGATGGAAATATTTATTTTTTAATTTGAGTTCAAGGTGAACTGCTTTATAGTCTAGAGTAAATGATTATATTACAATCCTAACAATTGTTAGAGTGAAGAGTCTCACTGAACTTTGCATTTTTACTGGAAATACATCCATATTTCAGGCAACATGTCAATTCCTAAAACATTAGAAAGGGAAAGCAGAATTTTAAAACATATATGATGATATATGTATATGATATATATATTAATTTGAGAACCAAAAACTATTTAATAAATATAAATATTAAACCTGTATAAATTAGTACATATATTATATATACAAATTTGTGAGCCAAATGTTATTTAATATAGGAATATAATTACTGAACTTCTAGAAATTAGACTTTATAGTTTTTAAATATAAAATTAATATAGGTAAAGATGAATGAGGCCCAGTTTCCAACTTTGTAAGGTTGCCCCACACATGTCTTTATTAAAAAATGAACCAAACTGTGTAGGAGGAATTGTAATGATATCTTCAAATATACTATGTAATTTTGTCTGTGAAACTTAGGAGAAATATAAGAGTCAAAACTACCAATGAAGTTTCCCCATTGCATCTTAGCTGTAAAGGGACAAATTCTAGATTTAAATAAAACCTACACTTATGCTACTCTACATCATGATATTACTCTGTATAATGTTGTTATGCATTTATCTATAACAGTATTGTTTTTTAAATTATTTTATTTTTCATGCATGTTGATGTTTTCACTGAATATTTGTCTGAGCACCATGTGTGTGCCTGTGGACTTCTCAAGATAATGTCAGTTTTCCTGGAACCAGAATTGTAGATGACTGTGACTCATCTATGCGTGCTGATAATAGAACATTGTATTTCATAGGAGAATTCACTGCTTATAACCACTGAACTGTTTGAAGCTGCAGCACTATTTAAATCACATCTATGCCTTTACTCCAGAAGCATTTATGCCATTTATCCAATTTTTTGTTCATGTTAGGTGACTTTGGTTACAACCACACCCCCTCCACACATACACACACACACACACACACACACACACACACACACACACACACACACATTGATAAACATGTATGGCTATGTATTCATAAGTGCACACAAGCTTGTAGACATGGAGAGAGAGAGAGCGATTGTTATCAATTTTAAACTTTGAATTAGTGTTCTTTAACAGTTTCAAACCTGCATAATATAGGAATATACATCCTGATTATTATTCTCCTAACCTCCCTCCTGACTTTATTGCACACCTGTAATTCATAGTTTTTGTTGTAAATGTTGTTATTTGAAACTCACTGAATTTAACCAGGGCCTTCTGTGCCACCTTGTGCTTTGTAGCTGTCTGCTGTAGCCGGATGAGCTCTCAAGTGGGTCCTCAAATGAAAACAATGTCTGCTCCATCTACTTCTCCACAAGGATCCTTCAACAGCCAGTTGTTCAGAACAGGGTAGGCATCGCATAGCTCTTAAAGCTTCTCCCAGTTCCCTTATTGACTGTGGAAAGGTCCAATGTTATAACCTTTTCATGATTTTTCTGTAGCAACAAGGCAAAAAAGTGTTGGAAATAGAAGTTGAGCAAAAGAAAAGACTTTCATTATCAATCTCAAATGGCCTTGAGAAAACTGTTTGCCAAGATATCATTTAGGACATTGTTTTATGGGAAATCATTATAAATTTAGATGCAGGTTTAGCACTATAGAGAGGATTTCAAAGTGAGAGCTCAAAAATACAAAATACATTTTTTCCATAATTAACTTTACAGTGACTCCTCCCTTGCTTTAAAACATCATAACAGGGATGACCTTACAAATCTTCCTGCTTAGAGGGCTCCATTAGTTTTATTAGCTGACATGTTATCCTATGGTTTACACTGTTTTTAACTGAGGTGGTTGAGAATTTCCTTTAGTGTGTCCCAAAATTGAAACTGACTGTTAACTGTGCCACTTCAAACAAACACAAGAACCACAACAAAAAACAGTAATGCATTCTTACAGATGCTGTTCCTGCAAGAACATTAAAAAATAGAAACTAAAGGAAGCCCTCCTAACTACCTGAACATTATTCATGTTAAATTCAGAGCTGAGCAAGTCCTCTGGAAAGCTTAGAACACTCAATTTCTTCCTAATTTAGGGTATACCACACCAGGACAACCCTAGTGCAGTTACAGTGTGATTCACAGGAGCACATAAACACTTTCATTTACACTATCTACTTGGTCCTTAACAAAAGCAACCTGATGCATGTCTGACTTAAATGCTCAATATATACTACATTTAAGTGACAATAAGACAACCCAGAGGCAAAAAATCAATTACAGGAATGAGTTAAATTTTCCCAATGCTGTTGCTCAAGTGGAAGATAATTTCCCTTATAAATATTTTCAGAATTATACATTTACTTTTCCTTTGTCCACATTACTCTTTTCTACCTGACCTGTTCCTGTCCTGCTATTATTTTTCTCCAATAAACAAAGCACAGTGAAATAAGTATAACTTGGTCAAAAACCCAGAAAATAAGAGATTTAAACTCTAGTGTGAATGACCTAGTTTTTCTATACTTTGCTCAGATCAAACTTCAAACTTATAACAATGGCGCTCCAAATATACTATATTAGAGAGGATTATACATTCTAATGCAATGAATACTCATTTTAGAAAAATAAAACAGCATAACTCCTTTTCTCAACTGTTTCTTGACCTCTTGCTTGAAATAATTACTACTGCGTGGAAATCATTGAAAGTTTCTGTGAAAGGTTAACTTGTAGTGGGTAGCTGTTCCAGCTTTAACCTGGAAATACTACCCCTAGTGAGGCTTATGGTAACTGCCATGCCTACCTATGACCTGCCCCTAGGATGGGGCCAAGATGGGAACCCTTAAGACCCAAGATCCAGATGTGCCAGCATCTTGGTTGCTCGTGATTCTAGACGCTAGATGACAGACCAAGTCAGAGTTCTCCAGAGAATCCCAGTGGACTACACTTCACCTCTCCCATATCCTCTAACCAACCCCTTTACTGGCTGTAAGTTACCTCAAAATAAACATCCTTTTTAACTACATGGAGTTGCCTTGTTAAATCCCCACATTATATGGTGCCCAACATGGGGTATGAACCCATGACCCTGAGATTGAGTCTCATGCTCTATTGACTGAGCTAGCTGGGCTCAGTCAGTAGACCATGAGACTCTCCCTGACCGAGAATTGATACAAATACAGAATCATATTTGTTATAATGTACATATATTTCTACTCTTATTTGAATGTTTGCATATTAATACGAATGTAAAATTATATTTTTGTCTTACTCTATGTATGTTCTACCTCTGTTTAGGATATTTGGTATATTGGTACATATTTAGGATTATTGTCATATTGCATATTGTATTGTAGATTCCTACCTCTGCTTTAGCTATTCTGTGTATTGTCACAATTTTCAGGTCATTGTCCTTTTACTGTACATTTGCTTATAGACTGTTTACCCTGTTTATGTGAAGCCTTAGTCCTTAAGTTATCTAGGTAGATAAGACTTACAGATTTATAGTCACCTATGCTTGTCATCTCTATACTTATATTAGTTAGGTTCTCCAGACTTACAAAAACGTATGTCAGATGAATAGGTAGTCTTCAAACACTTCATAGACCTAGAGCATATAGCATTTAAATGTTTTGATAACTTATAATTCTGTTGACAGGAGACACGATTGCTCCTGGCAGCACTGATCTGATCCTGAGAGAATGTTGGACTTCTGAGACATTTACATCTGAAAGTCTGTCTTTACATTGGCACAAAATGGCCTACTGGGCAAAGAACTGCCCTTGCCTCGACTGCTGACAATAAAATGGTCTGACAGATACTCTAGCTCTGTAGCCAATTTGAATGCACCAATGATGCTGAGAAACTTTAGGTTACTGTCCAGGCGGCTAGCCTTCTCTGTCTACTCTCACAAGACCCCTGAAAGTTGCCTGCATCCTTCTTCCATTCTCAGGTATTATAATATTCCTTCTCAGGTCTGTGATGGGATTGACTAACAGATACAGTTACAATCTTCTTGTATCTTAGCTAGAATATATTAAGTATTAGACTCAGGTTCTTTAGGATAGGACAAGCGGGACACAAGGAAAGCGACCACTGTACTCTGCCGAGACAGGGTAAGATGGTCTTTCAGGATTCCTGCTTCTGAAGATGGTCTGTCAGATACTCTAGGCCTGTAGCCAATTTGAATGCACCAACAATGCTGAGAAACATTAGGTGACTGTCCAGGCTGCCAGCTGTCTCTGTCTACTCTTGCAAGACTCCCGAAAGTTGCTTGAATCCATCTACCATTTCTCAGGTACCATTATGTTCCTTCTCAGGTCTTTGATGGGATTGAAGACTAGCAGTTATAGTTACAACTTAGTATATATAATATCTTAGATAGAACATATTAAGTATTAGATTCAGGTTCTTTAGGATAGGACACCTTTTGGAATGATCTTTATAACATGCCATTTACCTATGCTCTATACTTCTCTGGATTTTAGTATGTGTTTCTTGCTTGATATTGTTTGCATTTGGTTGTAGTTCCATCTTATCTAGGTCATTATCCCTCATTATTCCTGGACAATATTTGATAACCATTCCTTTGTATATAGTCTTGTTACTAGTTTAGAACCTTCTTATTTAGACAAAAAGGGGGAGATGTAGTGGGTAGCTATTCCAGCTTGGATCTGGAAGTTCCAACCCCCATTGAGACTCTGGCAACTGTCACGCCTACGAGGCGGGGCCAAGGGAGGCGTCTGGAGACCCGAGACCTGGATGGGCGAGTGCTCTCTCTGTTCCTGGACCCTAGACGGTGGAGGTTGACTGAGCAGAGCTCCAGAGAACACCGCTGGACTGCGACACACCTTCCCCAGACCCCTGCAATCTATCTATTCCTTCATTTGTAAGTCACCCACTAAATAAATCTTCCTTTTAACTACATGGCGTGGCCTTTATAAATTCACCAATACCTCACCTATCCCAGATCCTGTAACCAACCCCTTTATTGGCTGTAAGTTATCCCCAAATAAACCTTTTTAACTACATGGAGGTACCTTGTTAAATCCCCACATTACTGACTTCTGACTATGAGTAAGATAGCCCCTTGTCTTTGAATCACATTTTCAAGACATATTTACAATGTCTACTGGATTTCTTTTATAAATATAGGAAATGGATACACATTAATTTGTTAAAAAGAAGTAATTGTGGGTTTCTGTTGGCTAAATTCAATCCAAACTCATACGCTTTTCAACAAAATGTGAAACTTGAAGGGACATTTTTTAAAGTGTGGCGTATCTCCATAAGCTTCTAGTAGAGCAGCTACATCTAGCAAGTCAGCAGAGTTTTCAGTGGTCTGGCAACACAATAACAATAGAAAAACAGAGTGGACTGCCAGTGAAAACCAGCAAGGGCAGTGCATCTAACACATCCTGTCCAGGTGAGTCTCCATGACACCCCAGAGCACTGGTTCTCCACCTGTAGGTTACAACCCTTCGGACATCCAAAGACACTTTCGCAGGGATCATCTAATACCATCCTGCATATCAGATATTTACATTATAATTCAGAAGTGTAGCAAAACTACAGTTCTAAAGTAACAAAAAGAACTTTATGGTTGGGTGTGAAAAGACTTTAAGCACTAGGAGTTTTAAGATTTGCTGCTACATAGGGATGAGAAGTAGAAACACCGTGAGCATATGATCCCTATGTTCATGTTACATGCCCACAACAATGGTACATCACTTTGTAATTTACTGGTAAAGAAATATCAAACAGCTGAATTGCAAACCCTTTTACCCACAAATGAGGCCCTAAGGCAAAATCTTTTGAGAAATAAAATCATTAAAGATTAAGAATTAATGAAAAGACCAAATGAAAAATGACTGACTTTAACTTACTTTTTAAGTTCATTATGAAGTTTTGAAGTGAGTTCAATGCTCAAAAACTGTTTGGCTCAGTCACAGAATGAACAGATATGCATATGTATGAGAAATAATTTCTAATAAGGAAAAAGAAAAGAACACAGATATGCTTTACTTTCATAGAAAGTATTTTATTTTCATTAAATTCTTATCTGGAGTGGAAAATGAAGATGCCTGATACAGTATCTAAAAATGTATTTAATAATAAACAATATATATATATATGTATGTAACTTTTATCTTCAAAAATAAGTTTAAGTAAAATCTATTGTGATGTTACTTTCAAAGTTGGAATTTTTGTTTCTTCAGGGTTCATGTATTAATGTTTTATAAAAAAAACTACACTTTTTATAAATGCCTGTCATTTAGACTAATAAAGGACACAGTTCGAATAAATGCCATTTACTATTTTTACTTATTAATTTAGATGGACTGCTTGCTTCTAGAGGGTCTACTTTAATTCACCATAAATTTGCAACAGTGTTTCTTGTTAGCCTATTACAAATGTGTGTTTGTTTGTGTGTATGTATTATCATGCATCACACATTTGTAGTTTATAAACTGTGCTTTACACTTTATACTAGGAGGATTGGACTGGGGTTTGCTAAGACTTAAGGCCAGGGATATTCTGCATAATAGACATCTTTAAACTACAGGAAATGCAGTCAACTTATTTTGACAGATGGTTATGATGCTCTTGGACACGGTTTTGGGAGATGAGTGTGGCAACCTAAGGCATGGTCTGCCTGCTGAATTCCATTGCATGGTGAAGAAACCACTTTTGCGATGAAACTAGAACACATTCAGCCAAAATGAAGATGAGAATCCATGAAAATAATATTCTGGGAGTGACATTGTGTTATTACAAAGAGAGAATGTTTTGGAAAAACAGGCCAGGATAATAACTGTAAATATTCATATCAAATTCTCCATAACCTCCAACAAAACAAGAATAATGTTTGTGAAAACAGCGTTATTTCAGGGCATGGATTGTATCTAGCATCAGATAGAGCCAGAATCTTGTTTGTGACTGTCAAAGTGTTAATTAGTATATGGGCAGATTAGTTGGAGGAAGCTATACATAAAACAAACAAAACAAAACAAAACAAAAAATAAAGAAATAAATGGTAGCCTGCCATGGAAAAGTATAAAAGGCTTTTGTGTAGATTTGTTTTTGTCCTTTTACTATTTATTTTGCTATAATAGAGTTGCCTTCTGTGAGAAAGAGGCATCTGTGTCTTAGCCAGGGCAAAATGTCTGCTTGTTTTAGAAAATGTTGCAGCAGTGGCCGGCACCCAATTTCAGAAGCCGAGTCACAAAATGAACAATCTAAAGACAACAACCTCGGTGGCCATTTGGATTCAAAACCAGCAGAGCTTTGAGTTTCTGGCCCAGCATGCTTCATAAACAAGTACTTGGCAACACAGAGTTGTTGAATATTCAGGGAACATTGCTGAAATTCACAGAGGAGGATGTGTGAAAAAGTCCTGGAAGTTATGCTAAAATTAGGACTTTAACGCTAACTAAGGCTATTAACTCACAAACATTTGTATTTAGGAGGACTAGGAAGAAACAAGTGCAAATGGTCTTTTCAGGCAATGGCTAATAAGTCCATTCACTTCGTTCTTTGCTAATTTTCCTAAACTGAAATATCTGGGTGATTGCTATAGTTTCCTAACTTTGTAAGGAATGAACACAGATTTAGTTATTTAAAGTTGCTCATATGATTGTCCTTTTGAATCTGGAGGTTAGAGTTTTCAGGGGCTGCCTAGTTCCATTCTTTCTGGAAACTTAAGGTGACAATCCAATTATTTACCTTGCCAATGTCTACAGTTCTAGTTCAAACTTCATTCCTCAAGTTTCTCTCCACTTCTGATCCCTACTGTATAGTTGAAGTCAGTAGTATGGAAAGTTCAGATACATATATTCAGAATGGAGAGGAAGGGATGGAGAGAGGGGGACAAAAGGGTATTTCATTTATTTTTATGGCTGTGTATCTGTCCATCTTCACCTGTAATCTTATTGAAATATCCCATCTGCAGCTTCCTGGTCTGCATCCCTGAGGACCCTTGTGATTATGATGTCGCCAAAAACATGATCCAAGATAATCTTTCCATTTGAACGTTTTTAATCATGGACTATTTGTTATGATTCTGTTGCATTATCCAAAGCAGTTTCTGGTGGACAGATAAAGAAGTAGTATTGAATACAAAATTGTTGAGGTGTCCCTTTTCCTTCCCGAAGCTTGAATAAATAAAAGCAGCAATCAGCCTAGGCCAGGACTTTGTTACCCAGGTTCTGCCCCAGTCTATGAAGGAATTCTGATTCCTCACACTTTTTTTTGGTAATTGAATAACTGAGTGCTAATAAGGTATGTAAGGAGGTGTAGCAACAAAAGAAAAAGAACATCTTAAAAATTAAAACAAAACAAGAACAAAAATTGTACCTGAAAAATCAAGTGAGTATCCCTTATGGTAATTTTAATGGCAGGACAGCATCAGTTTTTGCTTGTCAAACCTGGAAGATGGAAATGTTTCCTTTGTCAGAAAGACTTGGGGGACTGACCTAGCTGGTGAGACTGAGTCAGGCTGTGGACCCTCCAATGACCTACCTGTGGACAGTTTGGTCAAGACCCTAAGAGAGATAAGGTGTGGGGCAGATCTTTGTACAGAGTCCAATGTTTCCATACTCAAAAAAAAAAAAAAAAGCTGTGAAATTTAGTAAAATTACACTTAAAATGATAAGGAAAATACAGTTTCCAGTACTATATTTATGGTTTAAAGTTTATGTTGATGTTAAAGGATCTTCAATTCAATATTTACAAATTTTGAGATTCAAAAATAACAGGGCTAAAATTATACAATCTTAGTTTTATAAGTTATCAAATTATTCTAAACTTTTAAAGATGATTCAGACATGCAATTAATGGTCAGTCACCTTATAAAAGATCACATTCTTCCATGGGCTCATAACAATGTTTATATAGTCCTGTTAAATACAAATGCAATTCATTTCCAGGAATTTACAAGCATAGAGGCAGAAACCAGTTAATAGCTCCCATTGTAGTCTTTTGTCTATATCGTCAAAGCTAAGCCTAAACAAGTAAATAAAAACAAGGTTAAAGTTTGTGTAACATAATATAATATTCAAAATCAAGTATGTTAAAACAAGCAAACAGCAACTTAAGAGACTATGTGATAGTTCTCAGATCCTCCAGAAAAAAAAAAAAAACTTAATTATGGCACATAAAGTGTTCATTGGAAGAAACAGATAATTTCACAAATTTTGTATCCTTTCTTTCTCTCCTTTCCTTCCCCCTTCTGTCTATCTCTTTTTATTTGTGTGTGTGTGTATGTGCGCGCATGTGTGTGTGTGTGTGTGTGTGTGTGTGTGTGTGTGTGTGTGTTTGAAGGTGTGCTTTTATTATTTTTAATAATCTACTAAATGCAATTTGTGGTGTTTGTATACTCATGTGTGAAATGCCATCTGCAGATTATGGGTGAGCATACCAGGGACTGTACCTATAAAGAAAACTGACTTGTTCTCTCCAGCAGCCACCAATTGTCAACACATCATCAGTCAGAGGACAAAGGTTCATTAGCCCCCTTTCAAGAGTGATGATCTTATACAGACTTTGCACTGGCAGCCATAGGGGCTGGGAACTGCCAGTTGAGTACACAAGACAAGACATTATTTCAATCCAGTCCTCCTGAACTTCATACTTTACAATTCTGCACACCTAACCCCCTACTTTGAAGTTCCTTATGCCTTGAAAAGAGTATAAGTGTGATATAAATGTCCCAAGTTTAGGGTTTAGGACCCACTGACACTTATTCTCTTCAGTTTGAGCAGTTGTACGTTTCTGAGATAACTACTCTCTGAGAGGCATATGAATCTATGGGTAAAGGGATGCATATTTAGAGGGCAGTCTGATACTATGTCTACTTATAGAAAAACAATAGAAACTTTATCCCATGGGCCTGTGAGCTCTGCAGCATTTGTGTTCTTGGTTAGATTTATAGTACTAGACATGCATTTCTTCTTGTGGAAGAAATGAGTCAAATTAGAAAGTAATTAGTTATCTTTATAACAGCCATACTTCTATCACACCAATGTGTATATCTTGCTAGGGTAATCATTACTGTACTTTATAGGATATGCAAGTGAGTAAAATGTTGTAGCTTGTGTAGAAGCTTCTAACATGATGAAAAATAGAGAGTTGGTATAAGTACAGCTTGATTTACTGATGTCTTATAACTCAAGTATGCACTGTCTGAAATAGGGTACTACCATCAAGTTCTGGAGGGTAAACAAAATCAAAAGCAATGGACTTCAGTGTTTGAGAGGGTATACAGAAGCTCACTGAACAACAACTAGAAAATAAATAATTCATTTCTGGCACTGGAATTTTTTTGGCAGCTTATTATGTTTATTTTCATAATGCAGATTTCATGATGTAGATTTTCACACTAGAAATATGAACATAGAATAATATGGAAATGTCCTTTAGAATGGTCAATGGATGAGGTTAGAAGGATTTCAAGAAACATGACAGTAAAAGACTAGAATGCTATGAGCAGGATCTTATAAATATGAATGGCACTCACTATGCTCTACAGCAGTGGGAAACTCACACTCACAGGATGCACAGTTTGGTGTGATTTGGGAATCATCTAGATAAAATATGATTGAATAAAGCAAGTTCTTTTACTAAACTCTCTATGAGAAAATGTCTTTATTTTTCAAAACAGCTACTTACATTCCACAGAATTAAAAACATTGCCCTGAAGCTTTGCATGTGGGATAAATAGGCATTGCATTGCAGATAGGGAATTTATACTGAACAGGTGCAATGAGGCAAAAATCGTCATATTATTTTCTTTATTTTTTGGAAATGAGATTATCAGATATATAAGCATTTTATTTTAAGATTTTCCTCTGGGTATGGAAGGCTATGCCAAAAATACTTTTAAATGATTAAAGCAGCTGTAATACAAGCTACAGATATCATGGTAAGTTTTATTTAAAAACAAGTAGTTTTTCTTTGTTTAGAAAAACTACCTGTGAGTTTTCAGGGGTATTGATGAAAAAAGTACTCATATTTCTACAGAAATGTGTTAATAAATACTTTAGATGTTTTTATTTGTATGTGTATGTGTATGCCCTAGATTGTGAGGTCAAACCTTTGAGCATTTGGAAAACAAAGAAGACTGTCAATGTTCTCCTCTATCCTGCTCCGTAATATTTCTTTGAAATATGGTCTGTCACTTAATTTGGAGTTTTTATTTTATGGCTAAGATGGTAGTCAGCAAGTCTCAGTAATCCTTGAAGTTGGAGGTGTGACAGGGACCACATTTGACATTTACTTAGGTGCTAGAATCCAAACTCTGGTCCTTCTCTCTTCAGGAGAAGTATTTTTGTCCATGGAGGCATTTTCTCATCCCTATGTTAATAAATTTTAACTGGGGAAAACCTATGCTGAATCTTCTAAAGGAAAAAAAATGCATATCCAAGATCTAGTTATCTGTAAAAACATTCTTTATCTTTTCTATGTTTCTTCATAATACAAAATTTGACTTGATTTATTTCTATATTGCTTACATTACTATTTTTCACAATCTATGAAGATTTCATTTTTCATGTCGTAGAAATTATAAGACACTTTTTATTTACAATTGCTGAATATGTTCCAAGTTGTACTCAAACAAGAACACTTATTGATGTTCCTAGTTCTCTGTGGAAACATTATATATATATATATATATATATATATATATATATATATATATATTAGTGTATACTTTATTTAAGATATCTTTGTGACATTTATTTTCCAAGAAATTATAATCACGTGAGAAAGCAAGGTCTCTGTCTGAGTGCTGAGCAGTTTTCAAGAACAAGAAATGTAAAACCAAACTTCAATTTGCACACCAGGTCATGGATGAAAATTGTGTCTTCCTACTACTTGTATATTTAATTTAAACATTGCTGTTGGAAAATGCTCAAATTTCAAAACCCTCTGTGCCTCCAGCGCATAGCATACAGCATCAGCATTCATGTCATCACCAGCCTCCAAATGTAAAACATTTTCACTGCCGCCACAAGTCAAATACCCTGTGTGAAGTCTCTGCTATCAAGGCTTCCTCTCCTTTCTCCTCTTTGTAAATAGACTTTCTTTGTACCAACAGCTCCCAAATAGTGGCACGGAGCCTTTTTTTTTTTTTTTTTTTTTTTTTTTTTTTTTTGTGGGTTTTCCCTTTTTTTTTTTTTTTTTTTTTTTGTTAATTGTGAAGGCTTGACCTTAGCTTAGTCTTGTTTCTGCTAGTTCTTAAAACTTACATTAATCCCTTTATATTAATCTACTATGTCCTGCCAAAAGTGGTTTGCTACCTCTCCTCAGTACAGTACCTCCCACTTCCTCCATGTCTGGCTGGTGAATTCCCCACCTCTCATATTTTTCTCAGAGGTTCTATCTCTGCCCAGAAGTCTCACCTATCCTCTCCTGCCTAGCTATTGGCCGTCCAGCTCTTTAGTGGACAAACCAGAAGGTGCCATAGGCTAGTGAAGGAGGACAGAGATACATCTTCACAATATACAAAAATATTGTCCCACAACACCTCTCCCTTTTCCTCTCCATCTTTTCCTTCCCCTGCCTCTCTTCTTTCCCTCTCCATCACTCCTCATAAATCTCTTACATGAGGTCTATTGCATGTCATGATCTTTGTGGTACTCTTTGGCCTTGATCTGCCAAAGTACTTTTCCCCTGTGAAACTCTCACATAAAATAATGTTTCTAAATGCAAAATGATCTCAGAATTTTAGAATCCTGATACAGCTTGTCTTTTCTCCATATTTCTACTATTAGATGGGAAAACTGAGTATACTGAAGACCTATGTTGTATACAATGCAATATTGGTCTATTTCAAAAAGCAAATAAATACAGTTGTATCCCAAGATGCAGGTTTGATGAATTCTTTTGTCAAGTTCCTTTGATTATTCTTCTAGCAAATATTTAATCCTATAATAAAGTTAATATTTACATTTATTATACATAATGATAAAAGTGTGCAACATAATATACAGTATTTCCTCAGCAGTCAATATTCTTGGTACTGGCTATAGATACAAGTAATAGTGGGGTAAGCAACCAAGTACCTGTTCCAGATTGTGAGGTTGCCTTGGAAGACGGATTTGAGTCTTGTCTCTAGAATTTACTACTCTTGGGGATGTGTAAATATACGGGCTTATCAATGAATCCAGAAATTCAGTGACAGAGTATAACAGAACAGGAAGTCCACAGACTTCTAATTTATCCTTCCTCTCCAAAGTGTAACTGAATTATAGTACCTGATTTTTCAATGACCTGTTTAAAAAGAATTACTACATCTTACCTTTCATGCAAACTTATTTTCTGTAATCTCTTATTTAATGGATTATTTATTGTTTCCCCTCAAATATTCGCTTTATATTTTATCAAATCAAACCCCTTACTGATGGGGAAGATTTGCTGATGTTGATTGCTCCAGACCACTGTTGGAATTGATCTCCATTCTGAAGATAAAGTCCAAATTCCACTGACAGGTGTGGACCATTCAGTTCTCTGTTGGACTAAGAGGAGAAATAAAGGCACATAAGGAAGGAAGAGGCAGGGCCAAGGGGTTGTCTGTTCTCTTGGATTGAGGAAGTGAGGAGGCAGGATCATGTCTCAGCCACTCTGAGATATATTCCTTAATATTTATCCCCATGTTCTATTTTTCATTAAATGATAAAATAAATCATAATATCTTAGTTTTAAGAGTTTGACCTTATCTGGGGTCATCCTCGTGGATTCCTGGGAATTTCCCTAGCACCAGGTTTCTCCCTTACTCCATAATGTCTCCCTCTATCAAGATATCTCCCCCAGCTAGACTACCCTGTTCCCTCATGTTCTCATGTGTCATCCCCTCTCCTTTCTTACCTCCCTCCCACTTTGTCCCCAGTGGACGAAGATTCATGGAGATTTCTTTTGTTGCCCCTTCCCAAGGTGATCCATGCATCCCTCTTTGGGTCAAACCCCAGATTAGACTACCAGGAATAGTGGAAAGAGTGTCTGAACTGGTTACCCTAATAATCAGATCAGTGAATACCCTAATTGTCATCATAGAACCCTCATCTACTAACTGATGGAAGCAGGTGCAGAGATCCACAGCCAAGCATGAGACAAAGCTCCAGGAGTCCAGTCCAAGAGAGGGAAGAGGGATGTATGAGCAAGGGAGATCAAGATCATGATTAGGAAATCTACAGAGACAACTGAACCAAGCTTATAGAAAATCACAAACTTTAGACCGACAGCTGTGGAACCTGCATGGTGATGGCACTTGGGCTTCTGCATACAGGAGACAGTTGTATAGCTTGGTCTGATTGAGGGGTCCCTAGCAGTGGGATCAGGAACTATCCCTGGTTCATGAGTGGGCTATTCAGAGCCCATTACCTATAGTCAGACACTTTACTCAGCTTTGAGACAGGGTAGAGAGGCTTGGTCCTGCCTCAACTGAATGTACCAGGTTTTGCTGACACCCCATGGGGAACCTTGATCTTTTGGAGGAGGGAATGGTGGGGGGCTGGGTGTGGAGGAAAGGCTTGGTGAGAGTGGGAGGAGGGATGAGAGGGGGATCTGTGGTTGTTATGTAAAATGAATAAAGAACAATTTAAGTAAAAAAAAGAGTTTGACCTAGTGAAAATGCTCAGGTGTTTAACTCATAACAATTTGGTCAGATTCACTGTCCCAGAAGGTGGGACCAACTGCAGTTAAGTTAGCAGTAGAAAGAGAGGTGTTTAATAACATGAGAACACTATCCAGGCAACCCAGAAGGAAACAAGTTGTTTTGTTTAATTAGTTATTAAAATTAAATATTTAAAAAATATTATATAATACATATTCATGATGAATATATAAATGGATAGTTTCAAATGAAAATTTTAAGTACCTATGTCTAGAACAAGAAGTATCCCGAATATAGTATCATTGTTACTACATTTGTTTGTTTCTTTATATAAGATTGAGATTAATGGTGGAAGAGGAGATGAAGAGCCACAGCAAGAATACCCTTCTCAGTAGGCAATAGGTAATTATTAAAGTCATTTCACACTCTACAATAACAGACTTTCAAAGTTCATGCTTTCTTCGTGACTGACTTTATGCCATCTTCCCAGAATTTTATGTTCTCTCACCACTTTCACATTTCTTGTGATGTACAAATTAATGCTCCCCTTCATTGCCAACATTATTTAGATCTGTTGCACATAGACTATCATTATCACAGCCCTATTGCTTCTCCCTGTGGCCCTTTTGGACTTGTGTTAGAAGCACTTTGATCTCTCTCCACTCTTCACATTCTACCAGGTATATTCTCAAACCATGAAAAAGTATCAGGTATATTCTCAAATTATAAAAAGTAAATATGTAGCAGCAATTGCCATCTTCAGATAAAGGAGCATTCTGTGTTCTATAATAGTAGGAAGTGTGCTTTAAGCCTCTGCTGATTTGGTAGAATTTTTTTTTAATTTTTCTTTATTAAGAAAATTACTCACTCCACATACTATCCACAACCCCCCCTCCTCCTTCCTTCCAGCCCCAACCCTTTTTCCCAAGCCACCCGGCAACCCCACATTCCCCAAGTTGAGATCTCCCATGGGGAGTCAGCATGGCCCAGCACACTGAGCCTAGGCAGGTCCAAGCCCCTTCCCACTGTACCAAGATAGTGCAAGGTGTCACATAGAAAGTTTTTTGAGTGGAAGAGAACAACTCTTGTTATCTTTCTACATGGGAGTGGCAATACTGGTCAGAATGTGCCTAAAGGTTTAGTTAACAATTTCTGCTATTGCCTACACAAGAACTTTTCAAAATCTGAAACTAAACAGGATAAAAATAAAATAAGGAAATAAATACCAAAATAAATGTGAAATGGGCATTTGTTTTAAATGTACAGATTAAAAGAGTCACATTGTAATGTCACAATCATCAACCCTGTCATGAGAAATAGAACTTGAAAATTTGTATACCGTGAAACTTACAATTTTTGGACTCTTTAAAACAACTTCAGCAAAAATTTTCAACGCAGATGAATACATATCATATAGCAGCACATTAATAAACATCTACTACCAGGTGACAAAACCCATAACATTAATTTGTTTGACAACTTGAATACACACACACACACACACACACACACATACAATAGATTTTAAAACTCACTATATTGAATAAATTATTTCATTTTCTTAAAAAGCATGTTTGAACTTTCCACAAAATCAATAAGATCTACTGTATACCATCCCTTAATATTAAAAAAAGAAAAGAAAAATAAAATACTTAACTACAGTAAAATATTTACAGAACTTTCCTCAATTGAAGAAAATTAAGTTATATAAATTAGATATTTACTTCATTTACTTGTTTATGTGTGCTAATTTTAATTGTGTCACACCTCATTTTGTGTTGAGTGTTCAATCTCAATTAGATAAAGATGCAGGCATACTTATATATCAGGCATTTAAAGAAGAGTTTTAAGAGACGAGTCAATTAAAGAAGAGTTTATTGTTAAACAAGTGAATATTGGATGGATCCTTGTCCATATGACTTTTTAAAAATAGAAGTATCAAAGAAATGATAGTATTGAAAATAAGGTCAATATATCCCACAATAGACAGACAGACAGACAACAGAGAGAGAAAGAGGGAGAGAGAGAGAGAGAGAGAGAGAGAGAGAGAGAGAGCTCCCAAAGCTATCCTGTGTTTCTGTCTACCTAACATTTCTTATCCCTCTCTCCTCAAGAGTACCCTGAGAAAAAATGGGAAAATATGGGAGTAAGCTTTCCACAGTAGGTTCAATTTATGATGAAAATCACAGGTGGATGTAGCATAAATCTTAAAAGTTCTTAAAAATAAAATCAAACCTGAGGCCAGTTATTGGGGTGAACACTGGAAGATCAGAGAACCAAAACAAGCCACAGCTACCTCGCCTCGCTGGATCCTCAGCTGGTCTTGTTTCCTCAGACTGGAGGCCTCTGAACCCTCATCCAGAATGAATCTCAGCTGAACTGTGCTGCTCAAAAGCCTGAAAGCTTGACCAGGCCAAATGCTTAACCAGCCAAATGCTTCTAGTTTCTGGTCCTCACGCCATATGCGTTCTACCACCACTCCCTGGGATTAAAGGCTTGCTTTCTGGGATTAAAGGCATGATAAGTCACCATGCCTGTCTGTATCTTTGAACACATGCATTTCTGCCTCTGGAATGCTAGGATTAAAGGCGTGTGCTACCACTGCCTATCCTTTATGTTTAATATTGTGGCTGCTCTGTCTCTGACCCAGATAAGTTTATTAGGGTGCACAATATTTGGGGGAATACAATACCCCAGGTGGATTTCATAAGAAAGAGGTTTAAGCAGTATACTAACAATAAGTTAGATATTTCAAAATACACTTAACCGGTAATATGACATGACTGGAAAAAGTAAGGTTGTTCTGTGAGGAAGCATTTGGCCTCCTTGAGTCTGAGATTGTTGACATCTGCTTTGAAGTCTGGACATTGTACTGATGTACGAAGATGAAGAACATCTGCAGCCTCTGCCTGAATTCCAGAGCATAATCTTTCCATGAAGCAACATTTAATTGTACTCCTATTTTCAGAGTAGCTCATGTCTAGGTTGTGAAAGCATCTCATAGCATTTGAAGTAGGCAAGATCTTTCGCTTCTCATCCAGCTCTCATAGATATTGAAGAAATACATTTTTCTGAATTATTTTATTTCGAGATTAACCTCTTTTTTAAAAGTTACAATAGAAATCCCACGAGTGCAGTGTTTATATTTTAACATAAAACAAATATCAGAAAAGAGTATTGACCAAACTATGAATCTTCTACACAATACTGAAAAAGTATGAGAAAATGGAAGAAACAACCTTCAAAATGAAAGAGCATATCTTTCAGCTTTTCAAAAGGCAGCAGATTAATATCTGGAATATAATTTAGTAAAGTAATATCTAACAATAAAAATTCATGCTGAAATTAAAATAGATAAAACTCTGAAGGAAACATCTTTGAAATTCAAATACCTAATACATTTATGAAACATATACATTATACCTAGTCATTATGAGAATGTACATAAAAATAATCTGATAATTTATCACACTTAGAAAATAAGTTATTTAATGATAATGGCAACTCCACATGAAGATATGTAGAAATAGTGATACTATATGCATGAACCAAATTAGTCACTGTAGAAATCATAATGGATGTTTCTGTAATAATTAAAATAGAAGCAACACGATTCATCAAGATTGATGTAATTAACATAGGCAATAAATATCTGAGACTCCATGTTAATTAAAACAATGTTCACAACATGTTAGAGGTACATGCACATCAGTTTGTGTATTTGTCAACAGATAAATGGAGAAATCACACTACAGGAATATCTATGACTGTAGTGGTTAGTCTTCATTGACAAGTTCTTCTACCTGGGATCAACAAAGACACATGCCATTGGGATAGTCTATGAGGGTAGTTTTTTGAAGAATCAACAGAGAATGGAAGACCCTCTTGAAAAGTGAAGAGAACCTT